TTTCTGGATCCCTAGCTCTCTCTTTTTGGTAAACCTGTTATTTTACCGGAGTGTCTCCAGTATCTTCCCAGTGCATGGGAGTGAAGTTCTTCAGACTTTGCATTTTAAAAAATGTCTTTACAATTATCATATGGTTTCACTCATATGTGGAATATAAGAAATAGCACAGAGGATCATAGGGGAGGGGAGGGAAAACTGAATGGGAAGAAATCAGAGAGGATGACAAACTGTGAGAGACTCCTATTAATCATAGGAAACAAACTGAGGGTTGTTGGAGGGAGAAGGGTGGAGAGATGGGGTAATTGGGTGATGGGATTAAGGAGGGTGGGTGATGTGATGAGCACTAGGGGTTACATACAACTAATGAATCATTGAATACTATTATCAAAAACTAATGATGTGCTATATGTTGGCTAATTGAACTTAAATAAATAAAAATATTTTTAAAAAAGTATTTTACCTTCATATTTGAGTCATAGTTGGGCTAGGTATAGAATTCAGGTTTGGGAAGAATTTTCGCTAAAAATTTTGATGGCCTAACCCTATTTTCTTCTAGTTTCCAATGTTGCTTTTGATGAGGGCTAACATCATTAGGTATGTGTGTGTGTTTAAAAAAAACTTGCACAATTTTTTTTTTCTAAAATCTCACCACTCTATACTTTGTTAGTGGCCTTTTAAATTCATTTTGTTGAGTCCTTAGTGGACTCTTTAATTTTAGGATTTTTTTTTTTTAAGTATGACTTTGAAAATTTTCCCCTTTCTGTCTTTTTCCCCTATTGGATTCCTTTTAATTGGATGTTTATTTTTCTGTTTGAGTCTATAATTTATTATCTTTAAAAAACCCTCTTTTATCTTATTCACCTACTTTCTGGGATACTTCTTCAATTTTGTATTTCGACTCTTCCATGAATTGTGTATTTGTGTGTTTACCATATTTTTAATTTTAAAGGACTTTATTTTTGGTTATCTGAGTACTCCTTTTGTTCTTCATGGATTGTCTCTTATTTCTGTGAAAGTATTAATTTCAGCTTTTCTTGAAGATTCCTTCTGTTTTCTGCATAATCTTTCCCCCTTCTGGGTTTTCTTGTGTGTATTTCTTATTTATTTTGTCTCTCTGGTCATGTTGGAGATTCCCTTCAAATGTCTGGAGATCCTGGCTGTCTACTCATGTCTAAGAATGAAGCTCAGAAAAGAGGGTAGAAGTTCTGTGAATATAGCTTATCTAGTGGTGGACTTCCCCATAGGGTGTTGGTCAGGGATGTTGCTGTCTGATTGGAGAGCTGCACATATCAGAATCTGTAGGTCTCCTTACTGGCGCTGTTCAATTTCTCTAGAGAGGTAACCTTGTGTTTTAAGCTAATTTGGAGAACAAGATCAAGAGGCTTCACGGCTCCTTTTAAAGGCCTTCTAATAAATCTCTTATTTGGTTTCATCTATCATGTCTGCCTCAGGAGTACTAGGTTCCTCTAACTTCTAAGCCTTTCAAGATTACTATATAGCAAATTAGGTTGATTCTTGTTAACTTCTGTCCATACTCCCCCATTCTGTGCTAGCATACAAACACACACACACACACACACACACACACACACACCATCACTTGAAGGCTCAGAGCTTTCTATATGCATTTCTTTTTTTTTTTTTTTTAAGATTTTATTTATTTATTTGACAGAGCACACACAAGTAGGGGGAGCAGTGGGCAGAGGGAGAGGGAGAAGCAGGCTCCCCTCTAAGCAGGGAGCCCTATGTGGGGCTCGATCCCAGGACCCTGAGATCATGACCTGAGCCAAAGGCAGATGCTTAACCAAACAAGCCACGCAGGGGCCTCATTTTTCTTAGTCTTTTAATGAAAGATTTCTATGTGACTATTAATATTTGTCTTCACACCCATTAGCATCCAAGCTGCCTTGTAAATTGTGTCCCATTTACTGTGATCATCTTTCTACATCTTGTTCTCTCTTGACTTCTCAATGAGAGTTTCTCTTTTTCCTCTTTTCTCCATGGCTTCAATTCTGTAGTGGTTTTGTCCCTTATACTGGCTTCTACTACAATGCTGATGTCACAAAATTGTCCCCCATCAAGTTTACTTATGGCATAAAATAGCTTTGCATATCATGTTTACTGGTTTAATAAACAAACATTTATAGAATTTTAAAAGTTGTTTAGTTCCTGAGCAAAAACCCTATTGTGTACACAGATGCAGGTATAGAAAATAATACCTAAGCTACCTACTAAAAGTTGTTTGGATCAAAAGCCCAGGCTTACCATTTGATATACAAGACCAAATACTCCTATTGCCCAGTTGCTATGACAAAGTTACATATGAAAAATGCCAACAAAACAACACAACACATCTGAGTGTCTTATTTGTTGGAGTCAGCAAATACTATAGACATTCAGAGCAGGAAGTCAAAGGGAATAGGAGGAAAAACCATAAACATTTACTGAATTCCTATCCCGTGACCCCTGTATTTTAGGTGGTTTGGGAATACATTGAAGGGAGAATTTCTAGACACTTGGGTTGGCCTTTAATGATGCATTGGATTTGTATGGAGGGAGAAAAAAATACATCCCATGCAAGATGAAGGTGGACCCCAAAATACAGTGCCAAAATGAAGCCTGTGTGACTTGGAAAGGTGAGGGCAAGACCTGTCTAGATTTGATGTGCATCCTAAGGAAAAGCAGGGAATGAGGTTGGATTGTATGGTGAGGCAAGAGACAAAAAAAGTAAAAGAACCTTAGTTTTCAGAAGAAGGAAAACAGCACATTGAATTTGAGAAGTCTCTCAATATAAGATACGACTTTGATGCATTTTTATGATGTTATATGTGGATACATTTACATAGCCCCTTCAGAACTGCAGTGTCTTATTTTTGGTTGATGGTTTATTTATTTGCTATTTGCTCTGCAAGTATCTCTTTTACTTGGGGAAGAAAAGAGAAATTGGAATGGTTTTTGTTCTATTTATATTGTAAGGAAAAGGATGGCAGGTGATTTATCCACTGCTCTGGCAACTATGGGAGAGATCCCTGGCCTTTCTACAACAGGAGAGGGTGGGTTGGTTACTTTGCAGGACTTCAGGTGATCTTCATTTCAAACATCTTTACTAGGCTCCACTGTACTAAGATATAACTTTGGAATTTCACAGTACCTGTCTCTAAGGATTTACCTAAATAGGAGAGATTTCTGGGGCATGCCTGGTAATGGAGTGCAGTGGGTCATTCTCCTAAGAAGCCTTAGCAGTGTTGGAGTATTGAGACTATGGTGGTCCTTCCAGTCATTTTTGGTAAATAACTTTCCATCAAGTTCTCAAGTTTCACCTGTCAGTGGAGAAAGATGCTGGAGAAAGATACCAGGCCTCTTAGCAGTCCGCAGAGATGGCGCTGGGACGCTGCAGACTGGTCAGCTGAGCAGATGGAGCTATGGCCCTGGATTTTGGTTTCGTGATGACTAAGCTAACCCGGTTAGTGGGCTGCTGGCTTTCTTTGTCCCTGCACACTTTCTGCTTGATGAGATGCTTAAGCACATGGAAGAGGCAACCGCTAGGAGGTACCCGAGCTTTGCGTCGACCGCGGGGCGAGCAGAAATGGCTAACTGTGGGTCCCTCAGCTCCGCGGGTACAGGCTGGTGGCGCTTATCCAAGGTCGGGGCTGCGATTAGCTTGTGTGTGGAGCGAGGAAGAGGTCTAAGAACAAACGGCCCTTTAATTGAAAGGGCGGAGGAGGTGAAGGCGCCTCCAAGCCATTATCGCGTCCGGAGGTCTGCGAGCTTGGGCACCAGCTGGACTGCACATCTGGATGCAGCGGCGCCTTTCACCGCAGGGCGGAGTCGAAGCGGACGATCTCGGTGTGCACGCACCTCCTCGTGCGCGCGCGTGCGGGTCCGTGAGCATCCGAGTGTGTGTATCTGTGTGCGCGTGCGCGCTCACGAGTGTCGGCTGGAGCCGCGGCTCCGGGATCGGGTAATGGGGGTGGGGGCCCAGGAAGGAATAAATCTCCGCTGGCCTCCTCGCGCCTCATTGCGGGTTAATAACTAACCAGTTATAGAGAGACGGGGGTGACGGTGGCAGGGTGACAGTCCCGGCAGGCCGGTTGCATGTGGAAGGCTCAGGTTATCAAGCCGGTCTCCGCCACACTCCAATATATACAACCATTGTGGGTGGGAGGTTATTTTTTATTGTTTGCCTCTATCTCCAGAGAACAAGGGCGGGAGGGAGAGGCGCGCGCTCCAGGCGAGCGTCGCGGATCTGAACGGGTCGAAGGAGGCAAATTTGCGGGTGGGGGAGGGCGGGGGAGACCTTGATTTCCACCAATCCCTGGGCGTTTGTCTGCGAAGTCCGGGGCGCAGCGGAAGGCTGCGGCGCGCTGCTGAATTAACTGATGAGAGCGAGTTCTTTTCTTCTCCGGGAGGGGTGGGGAGCAAGGGTCCTGGCGGGCAAGGAGGAGAAGCCCGGGGCAGGATAGCGGTCCCGGGCCGCTGTGGAAATTTCCAAGGACTTGGCGCAGCGCGGAGAGCGCGTCTGGGGGTGCCTGGCGGTGCAGCAGTGCGAGAGGCGGGGAGAGGCGGCGAAGGGCGCAGGAGCATCTCTCGGAAGGGGACGCCGCGGACCAGTTGTCTGGGAGGGAGCCGAGCCTCTCCCCGGACCGCGCGGAGGGCGACAGTGATGCTGCAGAACCGGCGGGAGCGACTCGCCGTGGCCGCTCTCTGCGCTCTCGGAGACCCCAGCGCCTGCCCTCTGCAGGGGAAGCGACCATGACCAGAGCCCGTGACTTGCCCCCCGGCCACTTCCCCTAGAAAGAAACCCTTGAAAAGTTGCATTAAAAAAAAAAAAAAATCCTTGCGCTGACCTTTGGGGCCGTAGGGGCTGAAGAAACGTGCGTGCGAGTGCAAACAAGAAAGCGAAAGGTGTGTGTGCATGGGGGGCCGGCGGTGGGGGGACCCTCCGCTGCCACTCTGCCTAACGCTGTGCTGAGGCCGCCCCCCGGGACCCTGGGGCTGTGATGAGCCCCTGCAGGCGGGCCCGGCGACACACGTCCAGAGGGGCCATGGCAGTCCTGGCGTGGAAGTTCCCGCGGACCCGGCTACCAGTGGGAGCCAGTGCCCTTTGCGTCGTGGTCCTCTGTTGGCTCTACATCTTCCCGGTCTACCGGCTGCCCAACGAGAAGGAGATCGTGCAAGGGGTGCTGCAACAGGGCACGGCGTGGAGAAGGAACCAGACGGCGGCGAGAGTCTTCAGGTACTCCCCCTCGCGGCTCCTCCCAGCTCGTGTCCTTTACTCCCGGTGCGCCGAGGACAGGGTCACTAGCTAGGACCGCCTTGCAGAGACATCTCTTTCTTGCAGTGCTTCTTGTCCTACTTCCTTTCTCTGCCATTTCTAAACCTGAAGACGTTAGTCGGGGGTCCTTCCCCACCTCTTACACCAAGAGATGTGCAGACACCTGCTTTACCCACCTAAAGCCTGTAAGCATTTCTTCCCCAGCCTGAGTTACAGTCCGTGATTCGTTAATAACTGGTGGGAAGGAGAATCCAGGCTAACTTTGTCCTTTTCACATAATGAGAATTTATCTCTTAGGCTCTGCAGATGTTTGAAGCTATAGAGAACTAGAAGAAGGTCAGAGGCATCTTCCTGAGGTTAGGTGAGTGGTTGGTAACATAAATCACTAATGACGGAGTGATGGGCAAATCTTGAGCAGGAAAAACATGGACACCTAGCTAGGATCCTGCTGCTTTGTGCAGTGTGCCCATGACAAAACACAGAACACTTACTGGTCCCCTCAGAGCTGGGTACTGTGTGATTTTTACTGAAGACTCAACAACTTTCCAATAACAGATATTATTCCCATCTGACCAACCACAAACTGAGTCTCCAGAAGAAGGAATTCTTTCCCTGAGGTCATGACATGTCCCTTTGAAGTGTGGGAGCTGACACTGTCATCATGTAAAGCTCTATAGCTCCCAGCTCTTTTTTTTTTTTTTTTTGGCTTAGACTGTGGATGCCTTCTGGAGAATGGGAGATGGGCTTTAGGTAGAGACTTGACATCAGAAAACAAACAAACAAAAAAAACTCAGGTTGGATATTAGAATGCTGAGGATAGCTCAGAGATTGTAGTTTCCTTTCCTTTCCGGGAATTTCAGCTTAAGTGTCTAAAAATAAGTTCTTGGCAGCCGGGATTGTGTAGCTAGACTGGAGGGAATGCAGTGCTGCTTCCCCTTCCTCTCCACTCTCCTGGGCATGTTCAGGGGGACGCACAGGGGCTTCCACGAGGGCCAGGTGCCCTTTTCCCCTTCAGTCCCTGGGGCTAAAGATGCTGCAGTTGGCCCTTCCTGAGACTGTAGTGCTTTCCTTTGCTCTGCTAGGATCTTTCCAAGCAGTATATATGGGCAGCTGAGAGCCAGCCTGAACATTTTCACTACCGTTGGTTACAGATGTTCAGATAGATGTATAGATGTTATCTGTAAATTTCAAAAAACTTTTTAAACATATGTGTTCCTTCTCCTTGGGCCTGCTTTTGGGAAGATGGTCAAAGAGATAATACCAGTTCTTGCAGGGGAGAGCAGATGAATTCTTTGAACTGGGAGGGGAGACTTTCCTTCTCTCTTTTTCTTTCGAATTCAGCTATCATTAAGTTTAAAAATAATCCCATACCCCTTAAAAGTATATAAGGGCTAATTTTCTCTCACCTTCACAGTATTGATTGTTGGACTCAAAAGCACTCAAAAGCCATAGCATCCAGCAATTCTTTTCTCTAAAGGCAGAAAGCACTTTTATCCCAAGTAATATAAGGAAATGAGTTAAGAACTTCCCTTTGGTTTATGATGAAAGAGTCCTTTTTTTTTTTAATTTTGTATAGGAGGAGGATTAAGGAAGTTCCTTTAGAGCATAAATTTCTTTTGCAGGACATAATCAAGTGGAAAATGCTTCATATTCTGAGAAACACAGGCTGATCATTTCTGAGACACATTTGTCCCTTGCTATCTGTAGCATGGAGTAATCTTCAGTGTGTTTGGCTGTTGCTTGGTTTAGTCTCTATGTGTAGAGAATTACCACTTAAAATCCACACACTACAAAAAACTGCCTACACACATATCCCTCAAAGTTAGTGTCTATAAAATTGTGTAAGATGCACCGTTGCTTGTTGAAGAGTTTGGACTTTGGAGTAGAATTTTAGACTAGTAGACTTTCTAGGCTGTGTGCGCCATGACTAGATAGATAAGCAGCAGAATAACTTTGGCAATCCATACTATCTCTTTGAGTCTTAGTTTGCTTATCTCTCTCTCTCTCTCTCTCTCTCCATCTTTCTTTCTCTCTCTCTCTCTATATATATACATATATATATATTTATTTATTTTTAATCTAAATTCAGTTAACATATAATGTATTATTTGTTTTATGGGTACAGGTCTGTGACTCACCAGTCTTATATAATACCCAGTGCTCATTATAACACATACCCTCCCCAGTGTCCATCACCCAGTTGCCCATCTCCCCACCCCTCTTCCCTCCAGCAACCCTCAGTTTTTTTTCCTGAGATTAAGAATCTCTTATGGTTTGTCTCCCTCTCTGATATCACCTTATTTCACTTTTTCCTCTTTTCTTAGGGATAGTAGTATTTACCTTGCAAGGTTGGTATAGATTTAAATTAAAAAAAAAAAGATGCCAGGTGTTTGACACATTTACTCAGTCAACGGTGTTATTATAATTGTCATGAATTATAATTTCCTGTATATGTTACAGCTTAAATAAGGACTTCGGGCCAGCCCGTAAGAATTTGGAACATTTTGCCTGCCAAATTTGCAGAGCAACATGACTGGTCAATATAATACTCCCCCACCTCCCAGCTTTTTACACTGTACCTGATAAATAGTGATGAGGAGTTTTAAAAGATGAAAGTATCATGCTTTGTTGAGTCAAAAATTTTTGGTACTCTGCAGGTGTAATAAAATCTGTTGTTTTACACATGTGGATTGTTAGTATGTGGGTAGTACTGTATGTTTTAAAAATATTAGACAGGTCAGCCAGAGGTCTATATTATGTTAAGAAGGCACAACTTTTGCAAACAGATGGCTGTGTTTTCCACTCTAAAATATCTTCTGCACAAATAGAAATATATGTACACGAATACACAATATGCACTTATGGGTGGAGATAAGTGTACATTTATTCATAAACTGGAATGATGCCATGAATATGTGTAAATTTATACACATATTCATATATACACACATACAAATTACAATCAATTTTTTTTAATAATCCTATTTTTTTTTTAGTGTTCCAAGATTCATTGTTTATGCACCACACCCAGTGCTCCATGCAATACCTGCCCTCTTTAATACCCACAACCAGGCTCATCCAACCCCCCACCCCCATCCTCTCCAAAACCCTCAGTTTGTTTCTCAGAGAGTCCACGGTCTCTCATGTTTCAACTCCCCCTCTGATTTCCCCCAATTCACTTTTCCTTTCCTTCTCCTAATGTCCTCCATGTTATTCCTTATGCTCCACAAGTAAGTGAAACCATATGATAATTGACTCTCTCTGCTTGACTTATTTCACTCAGCATAATCTCCTCCAGTCCCATCCATGCTGATACAGAAGTTGGGTATTCATCCTTTCTGATGGAGGCATAATATTCCATTGTATATATGGACCACATCTTCTTTATCCATTTGTCTGTTGAAGGGCATTTTGGCTCTTTCCACAGTTTGGCTATTGTGGACATTGTGGCTATGAACATTGGGGTGAATATGGCCCTTCTTTTCACTACATCTGTATCCTTGGGGTAAATACCCAGTAGTGCAATTGCAGGGTCATAGGGTAGCTCTATTTTTAATTTCTTAAGGAATCTCCACACTGTTTTCCAAAGTGGCTGCACCAACTTGCATTCCCAGCAACAGTGTAAGAGGGTTCCCTTTTCTCCATATCCTCTCCAACACTTGTTGTTTACTGTCTTGTTAATTTTGGCCATTCTAACTGATGTAAGGTGGTATCTCCATGTGTTTTTGATTTGAATTTCCCTGATGGCTAATGATGATGAACATTTTTTTCATGTGTCTGTGCCTGACTTGTGTCTGGTGTATAATAGTCATTCATTAACCAATATTTAATGAATGACTATTATACACCAGACACAAGTTAGGCCCTGGGAGATAGCAGTGAACAGTTTGGACAGATTGCTTTCTCTGAGACAGCTTACGTCCTACTGGGGAGTGACTGACGAAAACAAAGGAGTAAAGCAATAAGAAGATTTAAAGTGCCATTAAGTGCTATGAAGACAAAGGAAAGTGTTTCGTTATGTTTATAACCATTAGAATTTCAGATTTCATTTTGCCCTCTGTGCTTTCATTTACTTTTGTGATTTTTCTCCTTCTCTTGGCTCAGATCTAAATACAACTTCTCAGAGGGCAACCTTCACCAATTGCATAGGAGAAGCAGCAAGAAAGTCACAGAGCTGCAAGAGTTTTGAACTAGAGGAGGTTTTTGTAACATCCACATGGCAATAGAAAGATAAAAGAATCAATTGACCATATCACAGAAGTACTGGAGAGTTTCTGTGCAACTCTTGTTGCTTCTGAATGAGTAGTCAAGTAGTGTGGGAAAATGCCGAACCAGAGTGGCATGGGCCTTACTCTCTTCCACCAGGGCCTTACCCACTTCATTTGCTTCTTTAAAAGAAACTTCAGCTCACAGTTTATGCTCAAGGCTTTATCCTTTGCAGCAGACATAGTAACAATGACAACAATAACAACAACAAAACTGACAAATGATCAGGAGCTTATAATGTGCGTGACACTGTGCTAAATGCTTTACATGTACTGTCTCCTGTAATTCTCCTAACAACCTCGTATAAGTGGACACATTATCATCCACATTTGTAAAGAGGAACATATCCGTGTCCCTGCCATCAAGGATTTACTATAATCCCAGGGACAGGCATATGTGTGTATAATTAACTAAACACCTGGACCTAGGGCCATCAAAGAGAGGAGCATAGCAGAAAGAAGAACTTATGGACTCAGGAGATGTCAGAACATGGTTGGAATCCTAGCTGTATCCCTTTCTGGTTGTATGATCATTGCTAAGTTCAACCCTCAGAGCTTTGGTCCTCCCATTTGTAAAATGGGGTGTGTAATAATTTCTTACAAGTTATAGTGCAAAGTACATGCACTATAAATTTCTGCATGTAGAAAGCACCTAGAACGATGCTTGCTACGTACTTCTGTTCAAAGCATGTCATA